AGAATGGTTTAAAATATCTTGCAAAGGCAATTAAAGAAAAAATAAACAAGTGGGACTACATCAAATTAAAGCTTCTACACAGCAAAAGAAACCATTAACAAAATAAAAAGGCAATCTAATGAATGAAAAAAACTATTTGCAAACCATATATCTGATAAGGGGTCAATTTCTAAAATATATTTTAAAAAGTCCTACAACTCAATAGCAAACACAAAAAAATCTGGTTTAGAAATGAGCAGAGAATCTGAATTTTTCCAAAGAAGACATACAGATGGGCAACAGGTACCTGAAAAGATGCTCAATTGTAACTAATCATCAGGGAAATGCAAATCAAAACCATAATGAGATATCACTTCACACCTGTTAGAATGGCTATTTTTAAAAAGACAAGAAATAAATAATAAGTGTTGGTAAGGATGTGGAGGTAAGGCAACCCTTGGGCACTGTTGGTGGGGATGTAAATTGGTGCAGCCACTATGGAAAACAGTATAAATGTGCTTCAAAAAGCAAAATAGAACTACCATATGACCCAGAAATTCCACTTCTGGGTATTTACTGAAAGAAACCCAAAACACTAATTCAAAAAGATGTATGCACCCTCGTGCTCATTGCAGCATCATTTACAATAGCCAAGATGGAAACCTAAGTGTCCATTGATAGGTGAATAGAAAAATAATATGTGATACACACACACACACACACACACACACACACACACACACACACGGGAATATTATTCCGCCATTATATTAGGTGATGTAAGTGAGAAAAAGATAAATACCATATGATCTCACTTACTAGTATATAAGGAATCTAACAACAACAAACAATCTCCTATATACAGAAAAAAAAATTGGTAGTTGCCAGAGGCATGGGGTGGAGGGGTGGGAGAAATGGGTCAAGAGAGTTAAAAGATACAAATTTCTAGTTACAAAATAAATACATCATGGAGTAGTAATGAATACCATGGTGACTAATAATACTGTATTGCATATTTGAATGCTGCTAAAAGAGTCGGTCTTAAAGTTCTCATTATAAAAAAAAATTCTGTAGCTATTATGATGACAGATTTTAACTAGACTTATTGTGGTGATCATTTTGCAATGTGGACAAATATCAAATCATTATGCCTGAAATAAATAACATGCTGTATGTCAATTATACCTCAATAAAAATATTTTTTTAAATCTTAATACAGTAAAAAACAAAGTAATTAAACAATTATATCCCCTCCCCCCGCCCCCTTGGTATACATTCCTCTTATATCCTTCTATCCTCCTGTCCTAATGTGAAATGGTTGATCCCTTGGCCTACAGGTTAACCTTGAAATGTTACCCTAGACAGCCCTTCATCATCTCTCTGGGATCTGCTTTTAGTATTCTCTTGTTTGAACCCATTTCCTCATTCCTATTATCATTCTCTTTCTTATTTTACTCCCTTGTTTTACTGGAGCATATACTTGAGTAGCTTCCTGAAACAGATGCGGAGAAGGTAAACTTGTTGAGACCCTACATAAATGTAATGTATTTACTTTCTGCTTGCTCTTGGCACAAACTATTCTATGGTTAACTCTAGAATTCTAAGTTGAAAATGCTTTTTTAAAACTTGCCTCCTAGTTTTTACTGTTGCTACTGAGAAATCCAATACCAACTGTATTTGAGTCACTTTTCTCTCTGAAAGCATTTAGGACTTTCTCTTCACCCATGCTGATCTGAAATTTTTAATTTACATTTCTTAATCTGGGCTTAATTTATTCCCTTTCATTCATCATGTAGATACTGGATGGGACTTTCCAATCTGAAAACTCTAGAGTTCTGGGAAATTTTCCTGTATCATTTCTTTGATGATTTTCTTCTCTCTGTTTTCTCTGTTCCCCTCTGACATTCTTATTAGTTGATGTTGAAACTGCTGGACTGACCTAATTCTTTTCAAGTCTTTTCTCTCCTGTTTTTTTATTTTTTTCTGTCTTCCAGAAGACTTCCTCAATGCTGTCTTTCAACCTTTTATTACATTATTTCTTTCTATCTCATTTATAACTAACAAGATTTGTTTTTTATTCTCTGATTATTACTTTAACATAGCACTTGACTCTTGTTTTGCAAATAAAACACATTTCTATGTAATGACATGATATCTCTATGTCATGAGTTATAAAGTTTGTAGTCTCTGTTTCCTCCAAATATGCTTTCTATTTTTGCTGTTGCTAAGGCCTCTCATAACAGAGACTCTCCTGAGATGTCTAGGGATCCTCGCTCTCATTTCTTATTTTAGATTAAAACAGTATGAATAGTTGGATGGAGCTTTACAACAGGCATAACTTACTAATAGTTCATGAGCAGAACCCAACCATTTTGGGAGTGTACCCCCAACTCTCATATCTATTGGCCTTTTTCTTAAGCTAGATGGTTTCCTCAGAGTAATTTCTTCAAATACTTGACTGTGAAGTTATAAAAGCCTTGAGGGGTAATGAGGTTGAGAGTGCTTCCATTTAGTATGCAGCCTTATCCTCTGACCTAGGTTACATCTTATGAACTAAAGCCCAGAGTTCACCTTCTCCAGAGAGGAATCCTCCCATATTCCACTGGGTAGAAAAGAATAGACCAGTGATGGCAAACCTTTTGAGCTCGGTGTGTCAGCATTTTGAAAAACCCTAACTTAACTCTGGTGCCGTGTCACATATAGAAATTATTTTATCTTTGTAACCATAGTAAAACAAAGACTTATATTTTTTATATTTATTTTATATATTTAAATGCCATTTAAGAAAGAAAAATCAACCCAAAAAATGAGTTCACGTGTCACCTCTGACACGCATGTCATAGGTTCATCATCACTGGAATAGACTCTGGTTGTGCAGAGTTGGAGAAAGGATCCAAAGATCCAACTGCAATCCTTCTACTCAAATCTACCTCCCAGCCATCAGAAGTACCCAGAACCTCCCATTTCTAGGTCTCTGGCATCCTGAGGTATGATCAGGCTACATTCTTCTGCTCTTACCACCACTCTCCACCATATGCCGGCAGTTGGGTCTCAGCCTCATCCAGTTTGCTGTCGGTTACCTTTCATCCATCCTCTTGGCATCTTCTAAAACTTTGTAGGTGACTCTTCCCCGCTGTCACTGTCTCTCTAGTTGTCCCTTAGACTAGGGTGCCATCTTCTCTAGTCTTTTATTTAGTGAAATTTCAGGAGTGACCAGAAATAAGTGGCATGCTCAAGCCACTATGCTACACTACAGAGCACTATGGGCCTATACATTCTTCCCTGAGCACACCATATTTTTATTTGCACCCCTAACTCTGATCTTGCTGTTCCCCTGCCTGGTCTGCCCTTAACCCTCTCCCTTCTTCAATTTTCCAACCTTTATTGGTCCTTCAAAATTAAGCTCAGGCACCATCTTGAGCAGGAATCTTTCCCAGATCCTCCCTGCACATGCTATGTATATCTCTGGCCTGATACACACCATACAAACCATATTGTGCTGAATTAATCTGCCCGCACATCTGTCTCCCTCCCTAGACAAATAGTAAGTAGGCAAGAACTGTGTCTTATCCAATGTCCTGCCTCCATCTAGTGTGGGGAAGAACATCTGGCACATAATAGGTGCTCACTAATATTTGTTCAACTGACCCATTTCCAGTAGCTTCATGTTGGAAGCATTTTCATTCTCATAGGAGTGAAAAGAATAGGACTCTGTTTATTTGCCAATGTCCAAATAAGGAAGGCTAATCAGAGAGTACCAGAAAATGAAAACAGCCAGATGTTTTTAAAAGCAAAAGTCCAGGAATACAAAACAGTTTCCAACAGGGGTGATGTATATTTTTCCTAGCGATTCAAATGAATATATGCTTATTAGGCAGGGAGAGAGAGTTAACAGGTTCCATGTGAATCCTGCAATTTTAAATCCATTTAAGATAATTTTCTTTATCTCAAATCTATTTTTCTCAGTAACCAGGATACTTAACTGATTTGTAGAAAACTCATTTGAAAAAGAAATAATCTGCTCTAAACAAGGGCACACTCTGAATAGAAAAAGAAAGACACTACAAACCTAACAGGAAACGAAAAATCTTTTTGAGAGGCCAAGGCGGACTCCTGCTTAGAAAATAGGTTTTCCCTCCAGCATCTTGATTCTATGAGCAATTTCTTTTTTTCTATTTCACCAGGAGAAAACAAATAATTCTTAAATCTGAGGGCAGAGAAAAAAGAACTTTCATAAGACAATCAAGATGCCAAAGAAACTGTTTAAATGGTAAGAATCTCAGACAAAAGAGTAGAAACAGCCATGGATGTACTTTCTTACCTATCAGCTTGGCAAAGCATTTTTTAAATGGCAGCACCCAGTTTTGGAATGGTCAATTAAAATTCTAAAAGGAGTAGAGGTTGCTATAAACTTTTGGGAGGGAAATGTCACAATGTGTGTCTAGAGCCTCCAAAAATATTCCTACAATGTGATCTAAGGATTATACTTTTAGAAATATGAATTAAGAAAATAAATATCTAATCAATACACATAAAAACTTGAATGGGAAGCTAGTCATCAAAGTGTTATTTATAATAATGAAAAATCAAAGTCCCAAACAATGGAAATAATGATCATAGCTAGTAACATCAGAAAATGCTCATGAAATAACGTTAAATGAAAAAAAAAGAGGTAAAACAATATATCATATTCTCATAATCTGCAGAGAAAACAGACTTGAAGACAGATTTTACCAGTTGCTATCTCTAGGTAATGAGATCATGGTGGTTTCTGATTTTTATTGAAAACTTTTTGTATTGCAGACCTTTCTATAGGTTTCTGGGTTGCTTTTATACAAATCAAATGTTTTATTTAGCTAATATTTCATAATCAACAGTACTCAGTTTATTGGTTGTGGAGGAGACTGAGATAAAAGCTCCCTCACGAGTTACAAATGACATCAGAAAAATGTCACAGACTGGGGTCTTCGTCCACCCATAGGATCAAGGGATCTCCTCTGAATGACTGAACCAGAACTTACTTGGTGGGACGATAATCCGGAATGGAACGATCCAGCGAGATTTTTTCACTGAGGTAGGAATTGTAGCCATACTTCTCATGGGGTCCCTTGGCTTTTTCCTCTTCAGCTGGGGAAAGGGTAGCAGGAAGGCCCCCTTTGCCCCGCCCACCATAACCTTCAATGAGACCAAGGGATTTGGATAAGCCTAGAAAAAGGAGGGGAAAAAAGAATTATTTGAAAACCACTATATCGTGATATGTCACTCAAGCTCAGATGCAGCTTCAATGGAAATTTTAACATTACCTGTCATGGAAAGAATTATGTTCTCATTTGATCAGTCTTGGGAATATGCTCTGAGCACATCTATATTGAGAATTGAGAGGAGGGGCAAGGCAAAGGTGAGTTGTGGGTTTAGGTCTTGTTACCTAAACCCTCTCCCTTTTTGAGAACTGGGGTCTATAAAAGAGACTGCCCAGAGTGGTAACCGAGGGGGATACAAGAAATGGGACAGAACGGGGGCTATTATTCATGCCTGTTTTCCTCTCTCCAAGGGGCTATTACAACAAGGCTAGCAAGGCCCAGAGACACCCCATATAACACTAGATAAGAAGAGCTGGTAACAGGAAACTGCAAAAATGCAGGTGTTTTTACCTCATTTGAACAAAGAACGATATACAGATTGCTTTTATCGTGAGTTTAAAGTGTGTAACAGCCTGACACGGTTCTTTACTTAAAGGTTTTATTTAAATTTCATCTAAATGGCAAAGGAAATACAAAATGCTTGAGAATAAATTACAGCAGGAAAAAACCCATAAGGGTGATAACTGTGCCAAGTAGAGTAGGAGGCCCCGGCAACAAGCCTCACTGAGCAACTGCAAGTTCCCGGATGGTGGCAGCTTTACAACTATTGTCCCATTACACGATGAACAGCTTCATGGGCAATTTTTAAATCCTAGAGCTATGGGAGGTTTTACTACTCAGCTACTTGGCCATTTCAAATGCCCAAGCTACTCAGTACACACACACACACACACACACACACACACGCACTGCACATGCGCGCACACACACGCACTACACATGCGCACACACACACGCAGAACTATAACCACAAAAGTCTCACTGCTGCCACTGGTAGGAAAAACATGGACTAGGGTTGTAGACGGTTCCCTCAGCCTTCACAGTGGGCAGCCCACTTAGCCTAGGAGGATGCAACCTTTAAGGAATTCCATGCAAATCATAGACCCACAGGTCTGTTCCAGTCACATGGTCCTCTATCACATAATGGCGAGACTTGTATTCATTCCCTTTTCTGCTTCTCTAAAAACAGGTATTTATTTTCTGTGATACCAAGATTAGAAGGCAAAGGTTGAATGAATATCTCAGAGTTGAACTTAGTTGAAAATCATTTTTCTGCCTGAGAATCATCTCCACTGTTCTTTGGGAACCCTGACATCTTTCCTGCCTGCCACCATCCCAATACAGGCACCAGCAACTAAGAATCTGATTACTGCAGCACCTCCTACCAGCTTCCTGGTCTTTAATCTCTCCTTCCACATTAATGTGCAATTCCAATAACATCACCTTCACCATGCTCAAAAAATCTACAAGAACTCTATCCATGTCGAGTATAAACACCTGAGTTGGGTTTTAAAATGACATTATTAGGGGGATGTAGAATGGTGCAGGTATTTTGGAAAATAGTTTGACAGTTTCTCAAAATGCTAAATATACTTACATGATCCAGCAAGTCCATTCCTAGGTATATGTCCCAAAGAAATGAAAATATATGCCTACACAAAAACTCGTACACATATGTTCAAAGCAGCAGAATTCATATAACTAAAGGTCCATTAACTGAAGAATGGATAAATAAAATGTGGTATATCCATACTGCGGGAAGCCACCGCTTGCCGATACTGTCACGAGAGTGCACCAAGGAACGTGGAAGGCCGATGGACCTTGGGCGTTAGCAGGGCTGAAGCTAAGCACAGATTGTTCGTGTTGAGATAGCGGTGGCTCAAGGCAATTCCCTAACCCCGTGGTCGGCAAACTGCGGCTCGCGAGCCACATGCGGCTCTTTGGCCCCTTGAGTGTGGCTCTTCCTAAGCCTTAGGAGTACCCTAATTAAATTAATAACAATGTACCTACCTATATATTTTAAGTTTAAAAAATTTGGCTCTCAAAAGAAAATTCAATCGTTGTACTGTTGATATTTGGCTCTGTTGACTAATGACTTTACCAACCACTGCCCTAACCTGATAATCCTTTTACTGTTTACCACACTTTACCTTTGATACGCCTGTATGAATTGCTAAAGGGCAAATATGTATTCAAGTAAATAAATAGCAGACCAGGCCAGAAGTCGGTGTGCCTCTTCAAGAAAGAGGCTCCACCTGGCCCCCAATGCCTTCTAAATTCATATTTCTTGTATAGTATTTTCATTTGTGCGTCGGCTCCTCTTTCAGATCCTGAACCCCGCCGCGAAGGTTGCAGCACCATACAATGAGATATTATTTGGCAATACGAAAGAATAAAAGAGTGATATATGCTACAACATGGATGAACCTTAAAAACATTATGCCAAATAAACAAAGCTAATCAGCAAATGTCACACATTGTATGATCACATTTACATGAAATGTACAGAATATGCAAATCTGTAGAGGCACAACGTAGATTAATATATGCTTAGGGCTGAGGGAATTAGGGGAGGAAATGGGGAGTGACTACTAACACATATGGGGTGGCTTTCAGTGATGGAAATGTTCTGAACTTAGATTGTGGTGATGTTTGGCCAAATTTGTTTGGCCATACTAAAACTCACTACATTGTACACTTTAAGTGGATGGATGAGATGCTATGCGAAAATTTTCAATAAAGCTATAAAAAACTGACTTTGATAGATATTTCTGTTTCCAGCAAGAAGGAAGGCTAAAGCAACATAAAAAGTTTCCAGTAAAGCACCTAGAAATGCTGAATAAAAGACTTTTAAGCCCAGCAGGTGTGGCTCAGTGGTTGAGCATCAACCTATGAACCAGGAGGTCACGGTTTGAATCCCAGTCAGGGCACATGTCCGGGTTGCGGGCTTGATCCCCTGAGTGGGGCGTGCAGAAGGCAGGATTCTCTCTCATCATTGATGTTTCTCTCTCTCTCTCCCTCTCCCTTCCTCTCCAAAAGCAATAAAAATATATTTTTTAGAAACTTTAAAAATATTTTAAATACATAGCAGAGCTTGCAAGAAAGAAAGGGAAACTTCCAGAGGTAAGTTAAAATCTGAGTTGAGACTGTACCTGCTGGAGTGGGATGAAGGATGGATTTTGCATTAACAAAAGGCTGGAGTAATAGGGCTTATACATGCACAAGACATGAGACTTTTTTATACCTTAAATGTTCCATAAGAATTTTTAATTATGGAGGTAAAGGTTCCCATTTACCCAAAACCTGGTTTGGGAACCATTCTGGATATAGGGTCTTTGTATATGTAAACAAATTAAGATTACTGGTGTCCTTATAAGAAGAGAAAAAGAGACAGAGACAGTCACACAGAAGAGAGAAAACCATTTTATGACAGAGGCAGAAATTGGATGATGCCGTTGTAAGCCAAGGAATGCCAAGGTCTTTCAACAACTCCCAGAAGCTAGAAGAGGCTTGGAAGGATTCTTTCCTGGAACCTTCAGAGGGAGCATGGCCTGGCCAACACCTTGATTTTTATTTTCTAGTCTCCAAAACTGCGAGACAATATATTTCTATTATTTTTAGCCACCAAGATTGTGAGGAATTCTTATAGAAACTACATAAAACTAATACAATCTATATATATATATAAGCCTAAGCGACCATTACAACCAGTCGACCGAATGACTGGTTGACTGGTCGCTATGATGTGCACCAGTGGGCAGACACTCAACACAGGAGCTGCCCCTGGTGGTCAGTGCGCTCCCACAACCAAACTCCCACGGTCGGCCAACCTCCCGGTGTCCCTCCCCCCCCCACCCCCAACCCGGACTGGGCGAGACAGCCCCAATCAGCCCCAATCGCCAGCCAGGCCAAGGGGCCCCACCTGTGCACGAATTTGTGCACCTGGCCTCTAGTGAATATCATAAAAAAGGGGAAAAAAGTGCAAATTGATAGAGCAAATATATACCAAGCAAATACTTATCAAAAGGAAGGTGGGGTGGCTCTCTTAATATCAGATAAATAGGATTTAGGGCAAACAGCCTTATGGGGATAAATAAACTCAATACATAATGGTAAAGTGACAATCTCCCGGGAAGCTAGAAATAATTATAAACTATCGTGTGCCTAGCAATATAGCTTCAAGTTACATATGGCAAAAACTGACCACATTACAAGGAAAAGTCAACAAAAGCACAATCACTGTTGGAAATATTAATACATATCTGAGTATTCAACATATGAGAACGGCAAAATTTTAGCAAAAATACAGAGGAACTGAACAAAATTGACAAGCTTGATCTAATGGACCCTGCACCTGGCTTCTTAATAAGTACATGTTCCCTACAAGGGCATATGGGACATTTAAACAACTGACAGGCTACAGAAAAGTCTCACCCTCTCTTACAGATAATCTCTGAACATAAAGCAATTTAAAAAAAACCAGAAACCAATAATAAAAATACCACAAAGAACTCACACATTTCAGTAATTTAAAAAAGTCTTCTAAAACATTCATGGGTCAAACAATTAATCATAGTGCCATTAGGGTGAAACTGACAGAACTTTTAGGATAGTGTTAAAATAATACTTGGAAGAAACTATGTAAATGCATATATTGGTGGAAGGGAGGAAAGATGGATAATTAATGAGGTAAGCATCTATTCTATCCCAAGGAGTTATTAAGAGAGAAAACCCAAAGAGAGCAATAATAAACAAAAGAACAAAAATGAATGACATACACACAAAAGAAAGACAGCAAGATAGGAAGGGAGGAGTAAGAGGGAAGGAGGGAGAGGGGGAAGAAAAAGAGAGAGAGAGACAGTGCCTAGGGCCCCCAATATTTTGGGGGGCCCAGGAACATGTTTAAATTTCTTTTAAAATCATAACATTGCAGTTACATAATATAATTTATAATATTTTTATGGAGGAAGAAGGCCCTGACGACCAAAGATCCTAGGGCCCACAAAGTTATTATGCAACTCTAGCTCTCTCGTGTTTAGAATTTTATCCATATATAACAAGGTG